ACACCCCACCACCACCCCTACTACCACACCTGCCACTACCACCACTACTACTACCCACCTGCCACCACCACCACCACCACCACCCGCCTACCACCACCACCCCTCCACCACCACCACCCACCACACCACCACCACCACTACCACCACCTGCACCTCACCACTACCACCACTACCACCACCACTACCCCCCACCACACTACACTACCCCACCTCACCACCACCACACCCTACCACCACCTGCTACCCCACTGCCACTACCACCACCACTACTACCCACCTGCCACCACCACCACACCATCCACCACCCCACCCTCACCACCCACCCCACCACCACCCTCACCACCCCCCCACTCCCACCAACCACCACCACCACCCCACCCCTCCACCTACCACCACCCTACCCCACCTACACCACCTACCACCACCCACCTCCACCCACCCACCAACCACCTCACCTACGCCCACCCTCCCACCCTCCCACCACCACCACTCCCCACCCCTCTCCACCCCACCCCACCACCACCACCCCACCCTCACCAACCCTACCCCCCTCACCCCTTTCACCACCACCAACCACCCACCACTACCCCCAATTCTCCACCAACTACTACCCCACCACACTACACCCCTCACGCCTCTGCCACCACTGACCCCACCCTGGAACCACCACCACTACGCCACCCTCACCACCAACCACCACCACTACCCCACCCTCACCACCAACCACCGCCACTACCCCCCCTCCCCCTTTAGCTCAGTTCACGATGTGGATGTTCGAGTTTTTAATGTAAAGATGGTGTGTGTGTGTGTGTGTGTGTGGGGTCAAGTGGGGTCAGGCAGGGTATGGTTAGCGTCGGCTTGAATATTTAACACACTGAAGAGGTAACAAGACCCCAGCAATTGTTCCTTTACGAAGCTTTTCTTTACAACTGTCACGAGCTTTGTCATGTTGGGTCGAAAAGCTGAGTTATTGATTGTATTCTTCTGCAACTGGCACAAACTTTGCATCATAAAAGAGCAGTTCTTTATCAATTAAAGCTTTTTGTGTTGTTGCAATAATCGTAAATTTTAAAAGAATGAAATGAAATCTCGTCTTTAATTATTATTCCTTTGCAAAAGATACGATCACTGCAACACACACACGATTACTTAGTGTTTAATTATGCTGTTGCAAAGATCTCACGATCTTTGCAACAGATGGTCAAAGACGTAATCTGTATAGAGGCAAATTTGTTTTGTTCTTCGTAATAACTCGTTTTTTTTACAATTTTACAGCGAGATTTGCAATAGACGATGCAACTTATAATTCTTTGTGGTTCATTGTATTTTTTTGGCAACAACCAGAAGCTTTGTGGAAGAGGATGGAACAGAGAGACTTTTTCGTGTTATTTTTTTCTTAGTTATATTTTAATGTTATTCTTTCCTCAGGGTTATGTTTTCCTCCTACCGTCCTACACTCCTTTCCCCTCCTTCCCTCCCTCACACCATCCTGCCAATCTCCCCCTCCCCCTCCCACCATCCTCCTATCCCCCCCTCTCTCCATCATATACATTAACTCCCATCCTCCCCCCTCTCTTCCCTCTTGCCACCCCATCATCACAACAATAAACGCCTCCTCCCCCTCCCCCAGTACCAGCCGTCCACCACACATTAATCCACCTACCACCATCTACCGTCACCTGTTGTTACACCCAGGTATTCCATCCCTTCCGTTATAGCGTTGGAACACGGAAGGTTATGGTCAGGGTCTCGGAGCTTCACACGCTATAATGTGAAATGAATCTGGTTCACTAAAGCTTCGAGGTTTGTTCAGAGGGTCATAGGCTAAGGTTATACCCTCAAAGTTAACATGTAAGAATGAATCTGGTTCACTAAGGCTTCGAGTTACTTCCAGAGGTTCATAAGTTAATGTTATCCTCCCTAACTGGTGACCTGAGAACGTATATAACTGGTTCACTGAGGCTTCGAATCCATATATCCTCAAAGGTTAATTAAATCATCACTAGATTATACGACCATTATTACCCCCTGTAAAGTGGCTGCCGTCCCAACAAGGTTTACATATACTGTACCATTAAACTAAAGAACTAAACTTTAACACTATATACCTAAATTACACTTATTTTCATATGGTTAATTTATACCACTTGGGAGTTACTGTACCTGTACTTTATATTTAAATCACATTTTGTTTTCTAAAGTAGCTGATTCCTTTGTTACTGTCACCTTTTACACGCCTGAGATTCGGAACACAAGGAAAGTGTCTCTGAACTGCTTGTCTTTCCCCTTGATGGTACTTCAGTATCTCATTTACGGTTCGGTACCGTTTCGAATAGGAGTGTAAAGACTTTTTCTATTATTTTTTGTTCGTGGCAGAAAGAACTCTCCGATTCTGTAATGAGGAGGAGAAAGCCCGGTCTCGTATGTACTGTATTCAGCACCACACGTCCTCTCACTCCCAGCAACTGTGGCCAATTGTTTTAGTGACTATGAAGCGACTCTACATAGACGCCCTGTGCACACCACCGCTCTACGATCTAATTAGGTGTAGGTTCAGGTGTGTGTGTGTGTGTGTGTCACTGATGGTTAAGACAGGTAAATATGGGAGGGCTGCGTGGCCAGTCCATCATCAATGAATGGCACAAGTCACACCAGACTTCCTACTCCTCCTCCTATCCAGGCGGAGGGACGAGCGGAGAGGCGGATGTACCAACCCCTCCGACTTATCTCAATATCCCTGTGTACATCTGCGTAAGTTTCTTCAAGACAAACACCTATAAAACGCCTCCGCGCGCGCGGACGCGCGGACGCGCGTGTGTGTGCGTGTGTGTAACTCCACCAGCTAGATATGCCACAAACTACTTACATAGTTTCAAAGAAAGTCGGGCTGGCGGTGGAGGCGGCGAAAATGTCAGGCTGAGCGCTCCTTGAACGAAGGTTTGTGGGACATCTCATTTATATTCCAAACACGAATGGCGCTGGGAGGAGATTCACAATGTACGCTACTTTCCTCATCATTTCGTCTTTTGATAACAGCAGCTGGTGGAGGGCCCCTTGAACGAACAGCTGAGAGACTGAAGGGGGTAGTCAGTCAAGTGGTGCTGGAGAGGTAAGGCTGGCTGGCTGGCTGACCAACTGGGCAAGCCACTAGTTATGAGGTCAACTAACTTCTGCCAGTATTTACTACATGCACGGCCTTGTTCCACAACCTGTTTACCTTCCACAAAAACTAACTAACGCTTGCTGGAATTTCAGTAGGTTAAGTCACTTAGGTTCAAATGGAGTGAGTTAGATGAGTTTGGGTTGGGTTGGGTTGGGTTGGGATGGTTCAGTTAGGTTATGATTTGTGACGTAAGGGTAAGTTAGGATAGGTTAGGTTAGGTTAGGATGAGCTGGACTAGGTTAAGGAGGATAGAATGGGTGAGTGAGAACAGATTATACAGTACTTAAGGGCATTCTTCACGAAGCCCAGTATAATAGGACCACAGACCGGGTTTTGTACTGTGAAGAGACCCAGTGATAACGATGAGAGGAATCGAACCCGAAACAATACCCGATGATGAGATAGAATGAGCGAAAACCCCAGCTGACGAACCCGAAAAACTGTACCCGGGGGTCGAGGAAATCTGAAATCCAGCTCAGAAGGACCCGGCAGGAGTACCCGAGTAGGTCAGTGGGACTCGACGAGAAATAGGAACACTCACGATGCTGACTCGTCAAACCTGTACTCTCTCAACCACCACCCCCCTCCCTCACCCACACCAACAACCCTCCCTCCCTCCCCCACCCACACCAACAACCCTCCCTCCCTCCCTCTCTCCTCTCACTCTCTCCCCATCTGCTTCCTTCCTTCCCATTTCTGTGTATCTCTTTCTCTTTCTTTCCATTTTACTACTTTCCTTTTGCTGTCTGTCTGTCTGTCTATCTCTGCTTCTCTTCATTCTGCTTATTCCTCACAAAGAGAGAGAGAGAGAAAGAGAAAGAGTACGTATCCCTGTTTTGCGCGCGTACTCTCTCTCTCTCTCTCTCACACACACACACACACACACACACACACACACACACACACACACACACCACACACACACACACACACACACACACACACACACACACACACACACACACACACACCAACCTGCCCAACCAAAGAAAAAAAAATATACGTGGGTGTTCTGGAGGGAGGGAGGGAGGGCACGCTTTCTCTTGGTCCACCCACTGGTATTTCCCACCGCCTCTCCCTCCCTCCCTCCACACTCTCCAAAGGCTTCTTGTGCTTCCTTTAAGGCTTCTTCCTCATTCAAGGCTTCGTCTACCTTTTCTCCAGCCTTCACTGACCCAGCCTCCACCCTAAACATTCTTTCAAGGGCATCATTAAGTTGTAGAGACGCCACAGAGCGAACATCTTATAACCATCACTACACACGACTTCTCTCTAGCATACAGAGTAAAGATCTGCAAATGTGGAGTCTCAAGTTATTGTCTTTTTTCTAGTACTCGATGTCAGACACATTATTGTTGTGTGTGAGGCTCGGTACTGGCTGTGTGTGACGCCCGGTACTGGCTGTGTGTGACGCCCGGTACTGGCTGTGTGTGAGGCTCGGTACTGGCTGTGTGTGACGCCCGGTACTGGCTGTGTGTGACGCCCGGTACTGGCTGTGTGTGAGGCTCGGTACTGGCTGTGTGTGACGCCCGGTACTGGCTGTGTGTGAGGCTCGGTACTGGCTGTGTGTGAGGCTCGGTACTGGCTGTGGGTGAGCTTGGTGCAGGCTGTGGGTGAGGCTTGGTGCAGGCTGTGGGTGAGACTTGGTGCAGGCTGTGGGTGAGGCTTGGTGCAGGCTGTGGGTGAGACTTGGTGCAGGCTGTGGGTGAGGCTTGGTGCAGGCTGTGGGTGAGACTTGGTGCAGGCTGCTATCATATTGTTGTACCTTAATACTTTTTCATAAAAATGTTTTATTACGTCCTTGGTGAAGTTATTGATCTTCTTGTTTGTGTTACAGGTGGCGGGCAGCGAGAAGGAGGCTCCCGAGGAGGTGAAGACGGCAGAGCCCCAAGATGTGTCAGACTTACAGGGCGCTCAGCCCGTCGCCCAGGACCGCTCTGCGGCTGCAGAACTGGTCTCTCAGGAGGTGCCAGACCAGATTGCTATAGAGTCTGTAGATCGTCACGCCGCTCTTTACGCTCCCCACCGCCCTTTGGCCATCCCCATCCCACTTCCATTGCCAGTGTCCCCCGGCAGCCTCGTTCTGCCAGGGCACCCCAAGCATGTTGGCCCCCACGCCAGTCCCAAGGAAGGCACCGGATCATCATCGCCTCACCGACCGTTTGGTCCACCTAAACGACAGCGTCCTCCCTTCCGCCCCCCACCCCCTCCCCCAGTGTTCCCTGGTTCCAAGTCCAACCATCACCAAGCACCCCTCTATAAAATCCCCCCACCTCCACCAAACAACTACTCTCCCCCACCCCAGGCAAGACTCCCACCACCCCCACCACAGCCCTCTTACAACATCCCCCACCACAGCCCTCTTACAACATCCCCCACCACAGAACTCCTACAATGGCCCTCCACAGAACTCCTACAACGGCCCCCCTCCACAGAACTCCTACAACGGCCCCCCTCCACCACTACCACCACAGAATTCTTACTCTGGCCCCCCACCTCCTATTCAGCCTCAATACTCGGCTCCTCCACCCTCTCCTCAGCCTACCTACTCAGCCCCTCCACCAGACCCAAGTTACGGTGCACCTAAGCAAGCTGATGTTTTCCCGGGTGACGGAACTCACCCCCCAGCAGCTCTCTCGGGTCAAGTCATCGCCCCAGCACAGGCCCCGGTCGCTGCCCCTCAACGCAAGCAACACTCTGCACCTGAGCAAGCATCGGCATCACAGTCACAACCAATCTACAATCTCCCACCAGTACCAGCTGCGGCCCCTCTCTTTTCCCAAGTCCCCATCTCTGCCCCCGTCCCCGGCCCCGCCCCTGGCCCTGGCCCCGTTGATTACAGTGTCCCCGATGTCGACGTTTCTGGTTCAGCTAACTCATACGTGCCACCGGAGTCACTGGGACCAGCCGACCCCTGGCCCACCGCCGTTCCTGAGATGCCCAAGATCACAGCTCTCGACGTGAAGTGCGAGAAGAACTTGATGAAGGTGAGCATCTCGTTCGACAAACCCTTCTACGGCATAGTGTTTAGCAAGGGCCATTACAGTAACGTCAACTGCGTGCACCTACCGGCAGGTCTTGGCCGCTCCCAAGCCACCTTTGACGTGTCCATCAACGCCTGCGGCACCACCGGCAACACCGAGAATGGCCTCTACGGTTACGGAAGCCAGAGCGGCTCCGGCACTTTCTTCGAAAACACCATTGTGGTGCAGTACGACCCACAGGTACAGGAGGTGTGGGATCAAGCTCGTAAGTTACGCTGCACCTGGCACGACCAGTATGAGAAGTCCGTCACGTTCCGTCCATTCCCTGTCGACATGTTAGACGTCGTCCGTGCAGATTTCGCCGGCGACAATGTAGGTTGTTGGATGCAGATCCAAGTGGGTAAGGGACCATGGGCCTCCGAGGTGTCTGGCTTGGTCAAGATAGGTCAGACTATGACTATGGTGCTCGCCATCAAGGATGATGATAATAAATTCGACATGTTGGTTCGTAACTGCATGGCTCACGATGGTAAGCGAGCGCCTATTCAACTGGTAGATCAGAGAGGCTGCGTCACCCGCCCTAAACTCATGTCAAAGTTCACTAAGATTAAGAACTTCGGGTCATCTGCATCTGTCCTCTCCTATGCTCACTTCCAAGCCTTTAAGTTCCCTGACTCTATGGAGGTTCACTTCCAATGCACCATCCAAATTTGCCGATACCAGTGCCCGGCCCAGTGCAGTGATGACGGTCCTGTAGGTCCAGGCGGCAGCTACGAGGCCCCAGGGGTGGGCCGCACGAAGCGTGAAGTGGAGGAGTCAAAGGAAGAAGAGGGGGCGGAGGGAGTGGATGAGGCAGCGGGAGAAGAGGAAGTAAACAGGAAGCAGAAGGACATTGGAGTAAACCGCGTTATTCAAGTTGTGTCAACGCGGGATCTCTCCTTCGTGCTGGAGAAGAAGGGAGGCACCGACAGCGAACCCAGGGAGTCTGAGACGGCGACGTTGGTGGCGCCCCAGGTGGAGGACCACTCGGGTCTCATCTGCATGTCAACGCCCGGGTTCGCCGCCACGCTCATCGTCCTGCTGGCCATCCTCATCGTGTCTTGCCTCATGTCCGCCTTCTTGTGTCTCCGGTTCCGTGGTCAGGGTGACACCCGCTCCATCATCTCATCTTACGACAACCCCGCCTTTCTACACAAAAAGGGTCACTTCTAGACAGCGAAATCGTCCCCATCCTGTAGAAGAGGAGCGTGGGGGCGCGACGTGAGGCTAGATTAGTGAGCGCTGCACCAAAGCCGCCATGTCACCATGGCTTCGGTTTTATCTAAGGTTGGCGACTCACCAGTCGTGCCACAGCCCCGCGCCCACCACCACAAGCCGCGGCGCCCACGGTGAGTCGCGGCCGGGCATTCAGGCGCCACGAGTCACTCCAGTATGCGGCACCGGGCATGGAGGGTTCCCCTGGGTAACCTCTCCTGCCCCAGCCAGCGAGTCAAGTCGTCGGGTGGTCAGTGTGATGCTCCACACCCAACAGGAGCTGTTTCCTTTGCGTGTGTCTGTGTGTGTGTTTGTGTGTGTGTCTTGTCCCTCTATTTATTCTTCGTTATTTATTGTCGTATTACGCCACCAGGAATCCCAGCGCGTGTTCAGTACCTCCCAGGTTTCTTGTTGTGGAGGGGCTGACGGAGGCTGACCTTCTGGGAGAGGCGTACACGAGCTCTAAGGTCCCAACCTGCCGGCGGTGTTGGGGCTAACCGGGGCAAAGGCCGTATGTATCCGTGATGGGTCACATATACGGCCTCGTGCCCCCAACCTGTAGGATTAATTTGGGTCATACGTAGGGTCTTGGTAAGGTAAAGTGCATGATCGTGTCTTCCTCACTCACTCCTCCGATGCACTGTGTGTCGGAGTACTGCCTGCACCCTCCCCCCCACACTGACCAAGTTGCCATAACTGTCACTATGATAACACATACTCAATATTCTTCTCCACCAACAGTCATCATTATTTTTGTTGTTCACTGTAGAAGTATTTACTTAGGACTGTGTCAAGGGGCCCCAAACATGACTAAAGTGTCGTGTTAAAGAGGTCCCCAGACACGACAGTATAGCCCCTGTGTGAATGATTGCGAGGTTAAGTCCCCCACCTCCTCCCATTAACCAGACGACCCGGCGACACTGACCTCCTCCCCCTGATAATCCAGGGTGAGACACGTAGATAATTGTAAATACTGACTCTCTCCCCGTATCTCTACCCTCCCCAACTATATTTATTTTATCTCAGTTTCCCTCCTTCTCATTAGTTTTATCCCCATTATTCTACGTGTCACTATTTTATACAATGACGGACTAATAATAATAATAATAATTAATAACTGATTAATCATCTAACTCTTTAAATGGTGTGTAAGATCGTGTGTGAAGTTGTTAATGTTGTATTTAGTTTTCATTTGTAGTGTGTGTGTGTGTGTGTGTGTGTGTGTGTGTGTGTGTGTGTGTGTTTACGTTTGACCTGTTTGTGATTTAATTTGTAATAAAATATTTCTGTTACGTGGTGTTTGACTCCATATCCTGTACTGTTGATCACTGACTCTATCTCGAGGGCCCACAACAGCTTCTCTGACTGGCACTTGGGTTGAGATAATTTCTTGTAAGTGGCCATAAAGACAAAACAAAAAAGTGGTCTCTGTGTGGCCGGTAAAAAAATAAGCCTTCGGAATGGTTAAAAAAAAAACAAACACGAAAGGCTCTCTGTGTGGCTCTAACCGTATAATAAGATTTCTGAGTGGCCAATAACCAAATGTAAAATCTTTTGAGTGGCCAATAACCAAATAAAAGTATTCTGAGTGGCTAATAACCAAATAAAATTTCTTCTGAGCGGACAATAACCAAACAAAAAGTCTTCTGAGTGGCCATAAACCAAATACAAGTCTTCTGAGTGGCCAATAACCAAATAAAAAGGTTCCTGAGTGGCTAATAACCAAATAATAAATCTTCTGAGTGGTCAATAACCAAATAAATTCTTCTGGGTGGTCAATAACCAAATAAAAAGCTCTCCGAGTGGTCAATAACCAAATAAAAAGCTCTCTGAGTGGCCAATAACCGAATAAACGTCTTCTGAGTGGCCAATAACCAAATAAAAAGGTTTCTGAGTGGCTAATAACCAAATAATAAATCTTCTGAGTGGTCAATAACCAAATAAATTCTTCTGGGTGGTCAATAACCAAATAAAAAGCTCTCCAAGTGGTCAATAACCAAATAAAAAGCTCTCTGAGTGGCCAATAACCGAATAAACGTCTTCTGAGTGGCCAATAACCAAATAAAAATGTTTCAGAGTGGTCAATAACCAAATAAAAAGCTCTGATTGGACAATAACCAAATAAAAAGCTCTGAGTGGCAAATAACCAAATAAAAAGCTCTCTGAGTGGCCAATAACCAAATAAAGTCTTCTGATTAGCCAATAACCAAATAAAAAGCTCTCTGATTGGCCAATAACCAAATAAAACGCTCTCTGGATGGCCAAAAACCAAATAAAAAGCTTTCTGAGTGGCCAATAACCAAATGAAAAATCTTTTTAATGGGCCAATAACCAAATAAAGTCTTCTGAGTGGTCAATAACCAAATAAAAAGCTCTCTGAGTTGCCAGTGACCAAATAAAGTCTTCTGGGTGGCCAATAACCAATTAAAAAGAAGTCTGAGTGGCTAATGACTCAATAAAAAGTCTTCTGAGTGGCCAGCAAATACGATTTTTTTTACTCTACAGGTGAACAAGAAATTCTCTGTAAGTGGGGCACTTACAATGTACGTTTATCTTAGATTGAACGGGTACTCAGCTTGTAATTAATGAAACAATGAACGCAGTAACAACAATAATGATGATGATGATAATAATAATGATGAATATAGTGATAGTGGTGATAATGAAGCCAGGGAAATTGATGGTGATGATGATGATGATGATAAGGAAATGGATGAAAATGAAGATAATGAAAATGATGATGATGATGAATGATGATTATAGCAGTAAAATGAAGGAAGAAACAAGAAGGCTTAATGTACACCAAACATTGCCTTGATATAATGACACACACACACACACACACACACACACTCCATTGCCAAAAACAAATCATCTGTCTCTGTCTGTCTGTCTGTCTGTCTGCCTGCCTGTCTGCCTGTCTGTCTTTCACCATGAAACTCACACTTGCCGACCAAACTGCAAACAATAAGTGACAAACAACAAATTCATCCAGCTTAATAAGTCTTCGCCTGGCAACACTGACGGACTGAGTTGACTGACTGGAGGAGGAAGCTGGTTGGCTGGTGACATACGGCGAAAAATGATGATTGGTTGGTTTGTATTAACTGAAGAAATGTGATTGGTTGGCAAGTAACAGATGGAGTTAGGCTACTGGTTGGGAATTGGCCCAGTAAGATATCTTTTACATCTTGAGTACGATGCCAACCTTCTGAGTACAATGAATGAGGCTAATGACTAAGATTACTTACCTCTTAGAGTACGATGACTCAACCCACAGTATAGTGTTTAAACCCCTTAAATACGATGATCTATTCCTTTGAGGACGATGCTAGAGGAAAGAAGAGGTTAAGTAATCGTCCTCATGAGGTAAAAGATATCTTATTCACGAGGCTAAGTAATCGTACTCAAAGGGTTGTTAAAAACGTTAGCCACTGAAGCACCTAAATACAGTACACATATTACTACAACACAAACACAAAATACTCTCTAGTAATGTCAGAAATAATCACTGAGTATTGACAACCGTGTGTGTGTGTGTGTGGTACTCGTGCAGAAACGCTTAAAACAATAACTACATAATCAAGACCACACTGTCAACATTAATCATCTGTTCAAATAATCTGATGCTTAAGTATAATATAGAAAATAAATAACAGAAGTAAGGTCTATAATCGCTGTAAAAACAATAAGTAAATAACCATTTTTTGTACGTGGAAACTGGTGTGAGCGGCACATTCATATCAACAACTGTTTATATTTTGAAGTCAGTTTCCCGCGTCTAATGTGCAACAAAGTCTTGCTGTTAACTCTCTCTCGTAATTCTAATTTATTCTGTTTAGCGGTATTGCAGACTATCCTCTTGTTACTTCAATATATCTAAATGTTTGGAGCTACAGTACCTTCGGATCAAACTATTACTCTATGTACCGTATGGTATTTGGAATATACCTGTATTCTGTTTCTTCAATATAAGGCGCTCGAAACTATTTACACGCGAGGAAGTCTAGTGAGCTGCGGCAGCCTGTAGGTCAAGTACTGCCAGGCGTCACCCACTAGGCTAGGAGTGACCATTTCTCGTTGTTAAGAGAGCTGGGAGTGCTATAGTATCATCAAGGGGACCGTTATATAGATAGTGTTGACACGGCTACATGAAGATACGACCGTTGTATAGTTAAAGCAGGAAGCCGCCTCCGAGGTGAGCATGCCGAGTCAATTGTGCTGTACTGGTAACATTACAGCTGAAACGCTTTACAATAGTTACTACTGGGACTATTAGGTTATTAGTACTGAGACTACTAGTTTACAAATATTAGGGCTACTAGTACTGGGACGACTATACTCACAACACCGAAACCATTATGCAGTTAATAGAACATAGAGGTTAATACAGTTGTAGGTGAAGTGGGCCCCTAACCATCAGGATTGGGGCCCATTAGAACTTGGGCCCTAATTCTAAGGTTTAAGTTAGGTTAGATGGGACTGGGATCCAATATTTCTGGTTCGACTAAACTGAAATAGGTTAGATTTAGGTAAGTTAGGTTTGGTTAAGATAGGTTAGGTTAAGTTTGGTTAGGTTACTTTACCTTAGATTAAGTTAGGTTATTATGTTAAGTTCGGTTAGGCTAAGTTACGTTAGGTTTTTACCTACGTTAGGTTAGTTAGGGACTGTTAAGACTGAAGCGCATTCGACTAGTAACCGATCAGTACTATCTTTTAACCTTGGAGCCACTCTGCGTCCCATCTTCGCTACACAGTCAGTCACTCGTGACCTCCACCTCTGGGAGCGGTGCGGTAAACAAACGACGTGGTTGTGGTGGTCTGTGGTGGAGGCGACAACCCCAGGCCCTAGTAGACTGTTGAGTGGTATAGGTTTCTGTTGTCAGGTGACCCTATGGCCACTCCTACCTCAAACGACCGTAAGTTAACTTGAGCCGAATTTCGTGAAGCTCTCTGTTTTTCGTGGAAATACAGCTGTTGCAGCTGCCTTTGAAAGCCCAAAGTTTATTTCAAAGCCCATGAAATCATAGTGCACTAGTAGGTGTAAAGGATTTTTCTGGTGGTGGTGGACGTTGCCAGTTTTTTTCAGAAAACTGGTGGCACTGGTCGGCCACCTCACCAGGCCGAGAACACCATATGCAAATGACGTGGTAAAAACAGCCAAAATGGGGACGTACACATCCCCTTTAAGAATAAAAGACTATCGGACTGTTGTTTTCAGGTAAGCCTGAACATGAAAATGTATGCGAGGTAATTTTTGACATACTGAAAATTAAACAAGAACAAATAGTTGGCTTTCAACTCTTAAGAAACAATAAAGTGGTGGTGAAATTTGGGGAAAACACTGTTTTTGAAAATTTTTGTGAAGAATATGAAGACAAAATTATAAGAATTCCTAACAGTGATGAGACTGTTAAAGTGATGAATTTCAGTAAAACCTTAACTTATGTATCAGTTAAAGATGCTCCCTTTGAAATGGGAAATGAAATTATGTTGAACATCATAAGTAAATATGGTAAAGTGGAAGGAGTGAGGCTGAACAAGTATACAACAGGACCAGCGGCCGGACTGTTGAAGGGAACAAGAACCTTCAAGGTCAATTTAAAGAACAACATTCCATCATCAGTAACAGTAGGTGGCCATAGTTTAACTTTCCTTTATGCTGGACAGAGGAAAACTTGTTATAAATGTGGACATGAAGGTCATTTGGCAATTGATTGTCACACCGAGGAAATAGATAAGGTGAACATTTTTAATGAGGAAAACTTTCCTGTGATACAACTTTCTGGTGAGATCCACAGCTCAAGGGCAGGTGTTAAAGAAGGAGTAGAAAGTGTCACAGTAAGTCAGGTTCCAGCAACAACCCGGCATGGGGTAGAAAGGGAAGAAGTG